AACCCCCCCCCCCCCAGCCAGCCTGGGTGACCTGCTCCTGAGCGTCTCCGCTCCCGCTGCGGCTTCGGCCCCTCGGATGGGCTTCCCAGGGAGCTGCCGGCACTGCGTCCGCCCACACCTTTCCTTCGAACCAGGCGGGCACAGAAGGGTTCGACGTTTCCAGCTGCTTGCCGTGCTGCCTCTCGCGCGGCTGGCCACATTGTTAAGCGCAGGAGGTACGAGCAGACCCGGCCCGGTGCTTGGCCGCTCGCTGCGTTATCCCTTACCCCGTAACGCGTCTCACAGCGCTTCGCTTCGGCGTCACTCGACCGGTTTCTCTCTTCAGCTGTTCGTTGACTTCATCTTGCAAAAAAAACCAAGGCAGCGGCACGGATTAACACCGGAAAAATGTGCACCAGCCCCTTTTCGTGGGCGCTGGACTTGGTGTAACAAGTTACAGGGGACAGATTCGTTTTTTTTAAAATTTCATGTTACAGCAGTAATTTTTTTGGTTTAATAGCCGCATTCAGACAACCAGTTGGCAAGCTTAAACAAACAAACAAAGCCTAATTAATTCTTCCATCGTGTCCCTACGGCTGAACAGCAGCCAGCTCCCTGCATGCCTGTGGAGATGAGAGGAAAATTCAGAATAAAAGCTTCTGCTCTGTGAAGCCCTGCAGCAAGGGCTCACGCTCAGGAGTAGCTCCATCTGCACTTGGCAAGATTTCAAACATTTTAAAGAATTTATTTAATATTTAATCTTCAAATATTTTGTAATACGCCACACATTCTTAACCGTGAAGCTGTTTCAGGTACGATCGTCCTCTCCAGGGCTGCAGGTTCACCGATGAGCTGGTGACCACAGGCTGCCTCTATGGGATGGAAATGCGCCCCTCTGGGACACAATCCATATAATCCCAGCGACGGAATTGCTGTCAATAGAGAAAAATGCATGTTTGAAGCGTACAGGTCGTCCAGACGGAGCTACAACTACGCCTCCATCACCAGGAGACGTTGACCAAGAAGATCTGAGGTCGGTGGAGTAAAACGAGCGGCGCTGGGACTTAAATTGCCCTCCTGCACTCACTGCTGCCGGCTGTATTTTTTTAATTCAGCCTGTTCTGGGGGAGCAGACGCTGTTTCGTGGCCGGGATGGAGCTGCGCCGAAAGGAAGCTCGTCCGTGCTCTCCAAGAGCATCCACGGCGTGAACCCCAGCGCCCCGGCAGGGGTTAGGAGGTTTGCTCTAAAACAACCCCCACGCTCCTGACCCCACCTACAACGGATCGAGGGGCATTTCAGCTGAGACGTAGCCACCTGTAGATAGATCTGCCATCCCATAATTCACCCGTGGAGGGGCTGAATGGGGGGGAGGACAGGAATATCCAAGCTGAAGCTGCAGAAAGGTTGGTTTAGAGATGATCTGTTTGAACACCTTTACGTGGATGTTTGAGTTGGTCAGAGAAAGCTCGCTGCAAGCACAGCAAAGCCGCGCCGGAGACAGTGCCCCAGCCGGCACACGCAGGGGTTTTTCTTCGAAAGTAGGTACATTTAGAAATTAAAAATACCCACCCCCACCATTTCAAGCGCACGGCTTTGCTTCACGACGCGAAGGCTGCACCAGAACTAACGAGGCCACAGAAGAGCCCTGACCCAGTCTGAGAAAAGAAAAAAGAAAGAAAAACAATCTTTAAATTTCCAGAAATCAGCAGTGAGAATACCAATCTTCCCTGTTTTCCATATTTTGGAATGTGTTTGTTTTACCTCATTTTTTTTTACACTTTGGTAAACATTTTGGTATTTTTTAGCCTATCATTAGCACAGTGCATATAAGTCACGGCAGAATTATTCTGTTTTAATATCCGACTGTGTAATTAGCTCCTTCATCTGTTGGACTCGCAAGCTTGGGCTGCAGGCAGACACAGAGTTGCCTTGGATTTTTCTAAAAAAAAACCCCAAAACCACCATTTTCTATTGCACCTACCTTACGGATTAAACTCCGACGGTTCCACCGCATTACTCTCTTAGGGATTTATTTCACTGATTCATTTTATTTCCATGCAAATTCATCTTACGGAGATGCTGGAGGGGGGAAACCTCACTGTTTTGTCCGGTTTCATCCTCCTGGGCTTCTCTGACGCCCCAGAGCTACAAACCACCATCTTCACCACTTTCTTATCCCTGTACGTTTCAACGGTGCTGGGGAACCTGACGATGATCCTGCTAACCAACGCCGACCCCCAGCTCCGCACCCCCGTGTATTTCTTCCTGACCCACTTATCTTTCATAGGTTTTTGCCTTTCCTCCACTATCGTCCCCAAAGCGCTGGAGACCTTCCTGCTGGGGAGAAGCCACATCTCTTTTTGGGGTTGCTTTGCCCAGATCTATTTTTTCGTTGCTCTGACTGTCTGCGAGTGCTTCCTCCTGGGGGTGACGGCTTACGACCGAGGCACGGCTGTCTGCAAGCCGCTGCTCTACCCCACCACCACGTCCAGGGCGCACCGCAGCGGCGTGACGGCGCTGGTGTACACCACGGGCTTCCTCACCTCCTTGGTGCACACCGTCCTGGCGGGGAAGTTGTCCTTCTGCCGGGACAGGAGCATCAACCACTTCTTCTGCGAGCTGCCCACCCTCCTGCAGCTCTCCTGCTCCGACGCCGGCGCAAACGAGCTCTTGCAGGTTTCCAACGCCGCGTTTAACGTGGCAGGATCCGTCCTGACGGTGCTGGTTTCCTACGCCTACATCCTCTGCACCATCCTGCAGAGCCCTTCGGCCAGGAGGAGGCTTAAAGCTTTCTCTACCTGCGCCTCCCACCTGGCTGCCATCACCGTCTTCTACGTGCCGGGGCTGCTCGCCTACGTCCGGCCTCGCAAGGCGGGCGCGCGGGGTCAGGCGAAGCTGGTTTCAGCGCGTTACACCGTCCTGACCCCCACCCTCAACCCCCTCACCTACAGCCTGAGGAACAAGGAGGTGAAGGGGGCCCCGAGGAGGCTGTGGGTGCGGAAGCTGGTGCCGCATCTCTCCAGGCTTTGACAAGGCGCGTGCACCGCTTTGGTAAGCCGGAGGTGACGAAGGAATATGCGTTATCGGGCATTATTAGGTCTGCTTCCAGCGAAGGGGATCACAGGGCAAGCGCAGGGTATGGAGAACTAGCAATAACGAATCGTCAGCTTCCAACAACTTCAGTTTATCTTAATCGTGGTGCAGGACTTCACTAATTAATCAAAGTAACTGTCTTTGTGTTTTCCTAGCAGAACCGAAAGAGCACCACGAGGTTCTGGGTCGGAACTGTGCTAAACACAAGTATCGCCCACAAAAAGGGTGCTCAAAATTGGAGGTAAACTGTTCCTAATGTTTCCATTGTCTGCTTGATAACCGTTTTTTCCCAAACGAGCTTGAAAAAGTGAGGATCTGCTTAAGCCGGCGGTAGATGGAGAGCTTCATCAGCAAGCACCAAGCCTCGGGGTTGGCTGCGGGGACCTAGAGCCGTGCCAGCGACTTGTCACGGGCACAGGCACGTTGGCACGCTGCCCGGAGCACGCCCCAACCCAAATCTCTTTTTTTTTTTTTTTGGGGACGTGTTGTCTTTACGTCTGCTAATCTTTTCCTTTTTGGACGATCAGTGACAGGCCCGTGCTTTGTGTGGCAGTTTGAGTTATGACCCTTTCGTATGTCATCGCACGGCCGAGGTGGAAAATGCTCTAAAGAAAACAGCAGACAAAGGGGGTTTTAACATACAGCTGAGACACACCTTTTACACTGAAGGACCTACACAATTTCTAGAAGAACACGTAGCTTGTGTAATGACAGAGGGAATAAATATTACGTTTTAAAATAAGCGTCTTTGTCAACCCTGGTCTTCTTCCTACAAGAACGGCAACGAACAATGAATGGATGCAATGGCAACCAGTTAAAACCAGCTTTAAGCTGGCACGAAGTGAAATGCTATAAAGCCTTCAATCAAAGTTTGTGATGGAGTTTCCGTGAAAAGCAGAAGCATTTGGACAATTTCCCCCAAGAAGCACAGAACGTGACACCTGAAGCAACCTTCTCGGCGTGAGTCAGGAGGGACGAGAATCGTTAACAGGCAGCAAAGCGGCTCATGGCTCCCTTCTGCTCTGCTCTGCCTTCCTCTCTGCAGAGGGGCACATCAGAGCGGGCTGGGGACGGCGCTGTAGCTGTGTTCGGGGCACTGGGTGGGGAAAAAACAAACCCCAGTTCCCCTCTCCTTGAGACATCAAGGAGTGCAACCACCGTAACTGCCGTGGCCAGCACCACCCGGGGCCTCCACCCACACCCTCTGCCCAGGGCTCGGGCCACTATTTAAGCTCAGCCTCAGGTTTTTAACCACTTTTAGTGCTGGGCTTGTCGCTGCGCTGGGTCCTAGGTCTTGGTCTTCAGCTTTCCTGGCTTGAATTTGGCCCTTGGTTTCCCCTGGCCTATCGATGGGAGCTGCTGCCGGGAGGCAGGCGGGTGCTGAAGAGCCGGGAATGAGGACTGTCACCCGAGCGACACAAACCCGTGTGCTGCCACACCGGTAAAAATCTCACCCCTGCAATTCCCCTCCTGCAGCAGGGAGAGGACAAACGATTTCTCTGCAGTAGCGGGACCAAACGCTCAGCTGGCGCCTGATTTTTTTTTTTCCCCAAAGACACTTATCCGTAAAGGCGGGGCTGGGACTTGCTGAAATGGAGCCCGCTGCTGCTCTCGTCCCTCGCGGCACGCCGGCCCGGAGCGTGGCAGGACGCCGCGGGCGATGGCCGGCGGTTCTGGTGACGCACCGGGCGTCGGTGAACGCGTCACCGTGACTCTTGGGTTTGGCGGCTCCCGTCAGGGCGGCCCACTCGCGTTTGGGACCGAGCGCCGCGCTTCGCTTCTCTGGTACCAAGCCAGGATTTTGCAGCTCTGTAACAGAGTTTTCACTTTACAAATGTTTAGGAGGTTCCCACATACCAGAAACGGCTGCCAGGATATTTCTAGGTGTTGGCTGCAGCGTGAAATGTTCATTTCCCTTCCATGAAATGAACATTTTTTAAATTTTTTTTTTTTCTGAGAACACTCAAACCTGTTTATACACAAAACCCCAGAACCGACCCACCCAGCCCTGCTGCCGGGACCAAGCTCTCGCCTTCTGCCAAGGAGGAATAATCCTGCAGCACGGGCAGAAGCAGCTTGCTCTAGGCTCTGCAGCACGTTTTTACGCCTCCTAGAGAAAAATACTGATTTCCTCCTGGGCTGAGCCCTGCCTAACACCCCCAGGCTACAGGGCTTGCTGCACAGCCCTGCTCTCCTCTCCCAGCTGCCTCCCCTGTTCGGTTTATAGACATTCAGGGCACAAGAGCAGCTTTTTGAATGTTTTCTCAGAGGTTTTACCACCGTAAGATGGTGACACGTGCCTAGAGAGCCTGAAGGGAACACCTAGGAATTCAGACACATGGAAATCACACAGTTTGGGTATATTCTGCTCCCGAGGTTTTGCCCTGAATCACTAAACTTGCGAGCCAGAACGCTGCGGGGGGTTTAACCTTACCCTGCCTCTGCAGCCTGTGCCCGCAATCCCGCTTCCCTGCGTAGCACAAAGAACCGGGAGCCGTTTTCCTCCGTTCTTCAAATCCCCCCGCCGCTGCCGGAGGCGGCGGG